CACTGTAAACCCCACTGTCACGTCCCATGTCACGTCACACATTCATCACAAGGTGTCACTGCCACACCACTGTCACTGTTCCCCACTGTTCACATGCACACCACTGTCACTGTCACATCACTGTCACACCACTGTCACTGTCACACCACTGTGTCACTGTCACACACTGTCATTGCCCTACATCTCACCTGAGCGAGGCGGCTCAGAAGGGTGACACCTCCTCCGACGTGTCCACGGCACTCAGTACCTCTTCAGAGCTGGAGGGTGGAGAGGAACATAGTGTTTTCTTTATATATCTGCTTTGATATTTATACATATGTATGTTAAGTATCTATCTTTGATTTTTATCTATTTTTGATATCTGTCTCTGATGTCTATCCCTGATATGTATTTATATGTCCATCTGCTTACGTCCACTTTGTGTCGGTATGTAGCAGCGTCGCCATTTTCCTTTAAAACAGGTTGGCTGTGCAGCTATTTATAGCAAGTGTTGGCGTAAACAAAGATCATCCTTTTGGGAGACGAGGTATGACAGTAAAAATGGTTATAACTATGACCGTAATTTTTAAATGGGTGGGCCGGTAAGCCAGCGGAAGGCCTCGGTCAGATGACCAAAAGCTCCAACGGCGAGTCACTGACTAAGACCCATGTCAGGAAACACTTGTCCTGTTTCCTGACGAACCTTGCCTAACCTAACCGAGATATGACATATTAAGAAACGAAAGGTTACTCATTAAGAAACATGATACGATAAAAATCGGAAGATGGTGTCCGCTTTATTATTTGGAGTGACAAAGCGGACACATTACACGTACAGCCACGTAGAAAACAAGAGAGGTTTCAGTGTACGGTGGGTGAGGCTGACCTGAGGAACCGTACGTAGGGGACAGAGACGAGGGGGTTTTCCACGAGTACAGTGTCTTAAGTTTCTCGAGCAGTACCTCCAGGAGCTCCAGCTCCCTGCTGCTGCTAGCCACCACCTGCAATATACAAACCAAACCTTTATGGAAATACTGAGGAACAGCAACTTAGCGTCATTCACATACGAAGACCGTGAATCACAACGTTGCTTGACAGCAATTATCTTTAAAGTATCAGAGAAAGATGAACTATTACAGTATAAATATCAGGAATTAGTTCAAGAGTGAACAAAAATAATATTTATTCCTGGAGGAAAAATATATTTTTTTCACGATGAACTTATCGTCACGATGTCCGAAAGGAAATCTTATTTTTTTTTTTTGATATATACAATAGTCAAATTATGTTCTACTGTCAACATTACATAATACCTTCAGCATGATCTGACGGTCCTGTGAGGACCGTCAGATCATGCTGAAGGTCATGCTGAAGGTATTAAGCATCTCTAATGAGATGTCTGTGTGTCATGTGTTCAATGCATAATTGTGAGAGTTACATTCCCAATATCTGACAGTAATGAAGGCAAGATGGACAGATATGCATTTGTGGTTTTAACTGAATTTTGTTTTTGCTTATTAAGTCATACCAATGACTTTACCAGCTGTCTCTAAAATTCTGGAAGAGTTATGAAAAAAATTGGTAAAGGGATCCCTGTGATTCAGAGCGAAAAGTCTAGAAATAGGTACGAATTTATAATTACATTTGTAGGGAGTGCTAAACCCATAGGGGTCACAGAGCACCTGGGGGGAGTGGGAGGCATTCAGGTTCAGTCCAAGGAAGGCAATGGCAGATCCAATTCTTTTTATGAAGAATCCGTCATAAGCATCATGGATGTGGAAATTTATTTGGTCCCTAAAGTTCCACAGGACAGATACGGCATACGAAGGGGTCCCAGCATGGCCGTTATCGAACGGCTGAGCTGGGTGGCCCTTACACCCAACCCCAAACACAAACATTCTCTCCCGGATTGTCGAATGTGGATGGAGTACTACTTAATTTATAGATTTACCCTTCAGGAAGAAGTAGGTAGTTTTACTGTTAGTACACTAATATTAGGATTATTAAGGCAACTGTAGATAATAATAATGTAGACCTAAGACCTTAACATAGGTAGTAATAGGCCAATAATGTAGGCAAGCACTAGGTTAAGTTAACTAGGGAGAACTGGCTGCCCTAGTTTGCACCACGAGACGCTGGTCTGGAAGACTCCAGTTCGCTCTTCTTTGACCAGACATCACCTGGACAAGACATGCCATGATCAGCAGACGGCACCCCCATGTGTCTTCACATATGAGACCTGGGGAAATCTGGTAGAGGCACCTCGATGTACCGTAGATGACCTCCTCCGTCAGGCCCATACAGTAAGACAAGACCTCCACTCTTTCGTAGGATTCTGGCCAGTCTCTGGGAAAAGCTGTGAGTTGAACTGTGGGCCTTTGTGCAGCTGGCAGTGCATGCCCAGTACGTACCAGTGTCTCTTGTGAGTCTAGAAGCTAGGGTCCGTGTCTGCATAGTTATACAGCTTCTTCTCTATCTGGTGTGGCAGGGAATTCAGGTAGAATCCTGCCACCTATGATGTATCCTACTGCGGATCTGTATAAACCAATTCCTTCCCTAAACGTCCGTCGTGTAGACAGGAAGTCATCTATCTGATTGGCTCCCACCAGGATACCTACATTTCTGACTGTGTCAGTGGTAATTCCCTGGTCTGCCAGCTTCACGTCAAGGTCTTTCAATCGCTTAGCTGCTGCAGCAAGACCTCTCGCTGTAATTGCCCTGGGTAATGTCTCTACCACCAAGGCTGTAATGTCTCTGCGATGTCCACCTAATTTGACTGTGACATCCACCACATCATAAGATGTGGATATCCCCTTGGATATAGGAATTTCTGAGGTGCAGGCAGGTCACTAATAACAAAGGAATATTGCAGGAATTAAGGCTCCCGGTTGCACGTGGTTTCTGAGGGGAAGTCCTAAGGGGCTAAGCTTAGGGAGGTTGATGATCAGGATATATGCTGCAACACCAACACCTTTATACGTGCATGCAGGCTAGTTTCTTGCAACATCAATCATTTATAAAATCTGTCCTATAAACCACTTGTGAGGCTGAGGTACCGACCTCAGAGCTCGGTGTCAACAGAGCTTGCCAGGGTAGACGACTCACTTGGAGGCAGTCCAGACAAATTTTCACAATGGAAGATCCTACCAGGGTAATACGGAAGGTGAAGATGATGTGCGCTCTGTCAGTGTCCACAGCACCAGAATGTCCAGAGATCCAACAATATATAAGATAAGATTTCGTTCGGATTTTTAACCCCGGAGGGTTGCCACCCAGGATAACCCAAGAAAGTCAGTGCGTCATCGAGGACTGTCTAACTTATTTCCATTGTGGTCCTTAATCTTGTCCCCCAGGATGCGACCCACACCAGTCGACTAACACCCGGGGTACTTATTTGCTGCTAGGTGAACAGGACAACAGGTGTAAGGAAACGTATCGAAATGTTTCCACCCGCCGGGAATCGAACCCGGGCCCTCGTGTGTGAAACGGGTGCTTTAGCCACCAGGCCACGACCTCTCTGTTTCTATAATTACCAGCAATAAATGAAGTGCAAAGTATGATGAGGTGTGGGAGTCAAAGTTGTGGTTCCCTTGTAACTTTGTGAGCATGAGATGACAAAAAGTGGACACAGCATCGATGAGGTGGCAAGAAGTACATTCTTCTAAATAGTAACTGGCAACCATCAGGGTAGCTGTGAGAAGGAGCTGCTAGCACTAATGCAGGTCAGTGCCGACTAGAAGTCTAAAGAGAGATTGGGTGTATCACTTTGTCTAACGACTAAACCCTTGGGACGTCACTTTTTGCCTTTCATTGTATACATTTTTTTTTACACGATGCCTTCAAAGAGGAAACAGCTTGCCGCAAATATGGCCAGCACATCCATGGCCACCTCTACGGTCACTACCTCCACGCCCACTTTCCTCCACCCCCACTACCTCCACCTCCACCCCCACTACCTCACCTCCACCCCCACTACCTCCACCTCCACCCCACTACCTTCCACCCCCACTACCTCCACCTCCACCCCCACCTCCACCCCACTACCTCCACCCCACTACCTCCACCCCCACTACCTCCACCCCACTACCTCCACCCCCACTGCCTCCACCCCCACTACCTCCACGGCCACCCCACGTTCACGTGGTCGACCCAGAGGATCGGGAAAGCAGAAACGAAAAGACGTACCTGTGGCCACACGACGTCCATTTGGCCGACCAAAAGGATCGAAGAACAAAAGACGTCCCAATTTATTTACATTGATCACATCTGAGGCCAGCACCTCCACCACCACCCAAGATGTGGCCACCAGCACCTCCAATGCCACTTCATCTCGTATAACCACATCTCCTGTGGCCAGCACCTCCACTGCCACCCCAGATGTGGCTAACAGCTCCATGGCCACCACTGATATTGATACTAGTGTTGCAAGTGATATTCCAGTGTCAACACCTGCATCTGCTGGAGTGTCAAGTGCCACAAAGAGAGTGTCATTATTTAGTAAAGTAAATCCTGATTTTAATGACATAAAAATAAGGATGGTGGATTGTAATAATTTACGATACTGTCTTATCGCAAGTATTTTGCTCGAAGTGTTGAGTTAAAACAATGAACACTACATATTTGAACAACATCTTTGAGACAATTATTGTTCTAGAGTGTCCTGAATGTGGATATCAGTTGAGGGAAAAACCTAGGGGTGTTAAAGTATTGAATGAGGTAACTGGTAGGATGGTTGTATGGGGAAATGGTAGCAGGTGAAGGATACAGTACACTTTCCACATATCACTCTAGATACATACAATAATTATGCGTCTATGATAAAGAAAAATGTATTGAGTCATGTCAGAAAATACTTGCTGAATTAGGGACATTATTGTTCAGGAATATGCCAACCTGAATATTGTACCAGATGACAGTGGAATTCTTGACATTGATGTGACATGACGGAACATGGCACAAAAGGAGACATCACTCAAATATAGGCATTGGTATCGCTATCGATACCGTGACAAAATTAGTGGGTTTATTATAAAGTTTTGTGCAAAGTACTGTCAGATGTCTGCCTGTATGGAAAGTTCTTACAGCAAACAGACAATATCCCTTGAAAAATATGAAGAATTTGCAAATGAACACGAACATAAATGCTACATAAACTATTCAGGAACAGCTGCAAAGATGGAAAGTGAAGCAGCAGTAATAATTTGGCAACGATCCCTTGGAAAAAATTGAGATACAAAGCAATAGTGAGTGACGGTGACAGCAGTACGTATAAAACCATTGTTGACCTCAACGATGGTGAAGGTCCATATCCAGGTGTACAAGTTGAAAAAGAGGAATGTATCAATCACTATGCTAAACGTCTAAAGAACAGACTAACAAATTTGGTCAAGTCACAATATGTTGAAAAAGAATTGAAAACTGGGAGGAAGAGGAAGGAGTTCGCCATGAAGAAAAAGGCCATGTTGACAGACTTTGTAATCGATAAGTTGACACACTACTTTCGAAAGAACCTGAGAGAGAAGATCGGTTGTGGAGTTGAAGCTATGAGGAACTGTATCCTGGCAAGCTTCTTCCATTGTTCCTCAACTGATGAAAAAGCACAGCATCACCTTTGCCCAACAGGTGATAATTCCTGGTGTTTCTACCAGAAAGCAGTAGCAGCAAACCTTCCCCCACCATATCACAACAACATGAAAGTACAGTTACAGCTGGAACCTGCATACATGGAGGAGGTGCATAATATTTACAAAGACCTAACAACAAATGAAATGATGCGGCGTTGTGTAAAAGGCAAAACGCAAACCCCTAATGAAAGTCTGCGTCAGCGCATATTGTCTTACTGCAATAAAGTCCGATATCAGACCAAGAGGCATGCTGATTTTGCAGTCAGCCATGCTGTTGCAGACTACAACAGTGGATATGTGAGGAGCTGTCTAGACATACCACTGGGCTACAGACGTTCAACAGTGACTCAAACACACCTTGAATTAATGGAGAAGAA